ATCCCTGGCACTCCTACATCCCCAGCAGGCCTCAGCAATACCTGGGGCAGAGGATTGAGGGGATTTTGAGGGTGCAAGGTTATCGCTCCCATGTATTTTTATCAGATGTTTTAAAGACACAACGGTGAATCTGATTTCACTTTAAGCTCCTTCATGTGCTCTGTGAACAGGGCATTGAAGGATTGCTGGATCCTCTCCACATCTGGCTCCTCAGGGTGCCAGCTGTGGCAGGCTGGGGGCCTCAGCAGCAGAGTAAATCCCACTGGGAGCACATTCAGAGGAGCTCCCCGAGTGCCTCCCAGGACCACAGCCAATCCTTCCCTTCCAGCTGTTCTCTCAAGCAGAGCTTCAAAGGTCTGAGAAGCTGCTGAACAGTGTCAGTGTTTTGTCTGAACTCGGAGGGCAACCTGGGCTTTTGTGTCTTCTCTGCCCTGATTCCCCTCCAGAAGGTTCCTGCTGAGGAAAGAGTTGCATTTTCCATCCTGTTTTTGGAAATCTTGTAGAACTCTTAAGAACAAGAACTGTGCTACCTGACAGAAGCCTTTGGTCCATGTTTCTGTCTTCCCTGCATTATCTGATGACATCACTTCACTTTTGCTCTGCACTGAGTCACTGCAATGACATCAGCTAGTGCTCCCTCCTAATTTACCAATGCAACAAAAACTCCTCCTGTGCCAATTATCTTGTCCCTTTGGCCAAAGCCTCTCAGATGTTGTAAGTTTGAAGTCACCCAGGTTCTCTTTGGGCACCCAGCTCCTCAGATGTTGGCAGACACTTCCTGGATGTCTTTTGGCTTTTGGCACCAAGCACTTGTGTCTGTGCTGGATCCTTGTGTTCACAGGGCCCTCACTGCTATGAGAGAGAGACCATTCCCCATCACATTTTGTTAAACTCCCTGTTTAGATCTGTCTTGATGAATGATTAAAAAACCCTTATATTGCCAAATAATTTGCTATGAAGAAAGATATGTTCAACAAGTTATGCAATTTAGCATTATTAATCAGCTTGTGTCTCCACAAGATCAAGGGAATCTTACTTTACACTGGAATTTTTAGCTGATGAGCTGGATTCATGCAGTGTCTTTTCCTTCTCTTTAGAGAGGGATGGAAGGGAGTTAATTCCACCGAAGCTTCAAGAGACCAAATATCCCTGTTTATTAATTAATAATATCCATCTGGATTTTTATCCAAAGAAAAAGCATTCTGAGCCGTGTCATATCAACTTTGAAATCTTTGGAAGCCTGGCTGCTCTTCCCTTGTGTCTAACACCTACCTAGTTACAGGACATCAGGAATGTGAGCGGAGGACAGATGATGGGAGGAGGCTGCCTTTGTCAAAGCTTCTTTTGATGAGTGGGAACAACAAAAATAGGGTTCTGGAAAGCAACTACAAGCCAAAAAAAGTCCTTTGACACCGAACATCTCAAGAAGATGAAAACCGTCCTCCCATTTCCAGTGTCCCTGGCCTGAGCTTTTGATCTGACGCAAGAAATGTGGTATTTGTCTGAAGTTGAGAAAGTTTATGCTGGCAAATGAGAAAGGAGGAGGTGGGTTGAGTAAGCTGGGACTGAGCTCCAGGCACACAACGCTCGTGTCCCCGCGGAGGGCTGGGAGCGGAGCGGGATCCGCAGCCAGGCTTGGAGCCCTGGGAGTGGAGCAGGAGCCAGAGCCTGCCCTGGGAGCCTGGCGGGTCTGGGAGCCACAGATGATCCTGCAGGCAGCAGCCTCCGGCCAGGGCACGATGGATCCCCGCGCTCCTGCGGCCGGCCCGGCTCCCGCGCGCTGTTGGCAGCAGAGCTGGCCCCGTTTCAGCCCCTTCCAACCTCCTGACCCAGCTCTGCTGTGTCTGAGCCGTGGGGTTTGGAGCCAGACACAAACCCTCGTGCTGCTGGGACCTCTCTTGCCAGAGGCTCCGGTTCAGCACGGCCATTTAGGCTGATTTGAGTTTTTCCTTTGGTTTGCGCAGAAAGACAGAAGTTTGAGTGTTTTGCTGAGTTGAGGCCTTCCTTCAACTCTGACTGCACATTGCAAGGTGGGGAGGAAAGGGCTTTTTGTGTCCTGCATGGATCTGCTGTCCTGGCAGCACAGGCAGCAGCCATTGTCCTCCTCTCTGCCTTCCCTGCCTGGGTGCTGAGTGACATCACCCACGGCTGCAAGACCTATTTCATTTATCTGGTGGCATGAGGGTGTTTTCTGCCCCCATTCTTCACGGAAGCAGAACTTTTGTGTTGGAAATCGTAGCAGAAACACAGGTGGGCACTGCTTGCAATGAGGATTCCCTGTGAAAACCACACATTCTTCCCTTGATGTTATCCCTCTCTCTACCTCAACCCTATTGACTAGAAAATACCAAGATTTTAGTACTGAGACTTTAATACACTGCACATTTTGCTAATTTTCTTTCTGGCTGTGAGCCTCTGTGGTATCATTTTCCAGCAGTTTACTCAGAGGGCTCGAAACTTTCTTTTTTTTTTTATTTAATGAAAGTGGGAATTCTCCTCGAGTCCCCTGACTACAGCAATGGCAGCCTTAAGAAAAACAGAACGTGACAGAAAATGGATGAATGGCTCCAGTGCTATTGCAATAATGTGTAAGGAGCCCACTTGTACTCTGTGCTGTGTGAGCTGTGAGAGGACACTCCTTGTTGAAAGAGCCATGTGTAGTTTGAGATTTTTGAATGTGACTAAATCCCTTGTGCTTCTCCTTCTTTAGTTTGGCTTTGTGGATCTCACGGATGTGAGAGTTCTCTTCTTTCTGCTTTATTTCTTTTGGGCATTTCTTCAGTCCTAATCATAAAAACTAGAATTTCTCAGCAATTTCAAGTCTGGAGACTTCCTGACCTCTATCATTTCGTGCCCAGGGAAAATAAACTTGTTACTATGGTTTGGGCCTTAATGACTGCAAAGTATATATAGTCAATTTATAACGGTGCATGCTGGATTATCCTGTGCATGGCTTTACAGCTTTTACAGCATTTATCAGCAGAGTGCTCATTTAAAACATGTTGTTTTAATGAAAATGATACCGTTGCCACTGTTTTGTGTTGATTATGTGGTAACACATTTTTATTATCACCCATAAAAATGATTTGGAGCCGTTCCACTCCAGATGCGACCTTCGGCAGAGCCGTGCTCGCGCCGCCCGCGAGGGCCACGGGCCCCTGTGGTTTGCTGGGCCCTGACCATGGCTGCAGTGATTTAATATCCCTGTTCCCACAGCTCTGCAGAATGCTGTCCAAGACAGCCCCTGTGTGCCCCTTCCTCACAGCAGGAGCATCCCACTCCTGCCCTGGCTGCAGCCCCTCTAATTTGCCACCTCCAGGGTTACTCTGCCTCTTTGCCCGAGCACATTTTGGCAACATCCAGGTGTTTGCTGGGGAAGTAAAAGGATGATATAATAAATAAAATGAAGTGATTTAGAAAAGGTCTTCAGCTCACACTTGAGTCCCATGGCAATGGGAGTTAAGCACAGTTATGGTAAGGCACATGCTTAAGTGTTTGTTGAACTGATAACACATTTCCTGGAAAGTCTGACAAATAAATCATTGGTAGGAGCACAGAGTGCAAAAGGCAGATGGAACTGATTCCCTCCTGCCTGGCATCAGTCGAACCTGGTGAAGAAAAGCATTGTGACCTTACTCCTTTTTGCTGTACTCAGAAAGCAGGACTCTGGATCTGTAAATAAAGGTCCTTGCAATAAAGGAGGAATTTTGCTTGTTTGCAGGAGTGAGATTCAGTTCCCTTGCACTTAACCCAGCTCCCAGTTTAATTAGTTTCTGATTCACCCCCATCAGGCCAGTACATTCTGCAGGAAGTTCATCATTTCTGGCACTGCTGCAGTACTGGCTCTCACCAGGCCTTGCAATAAAGAAGTGATAAACTTTGTAATAATTGCAAGTTAAAAACAAACAAGCGGAGCCAAGTCACTCTCATTTATAATTGCAGTGTGACTTCATTATATAAAGACAACACAGTATGTAAAAGCTGAAACTTCTAGGGATTTAATGGAAAGTTTAAGCCATATTCCCTTTTATTTCCCTTATCCCTAAATTAGTATTGCTTAGGTGGTTTTCAAACAGGAAAAGATGATGCTGTAACAAACCTCAGTGTTGCATGCCTTGAAAAATGTTCCCATGTTAGAGACCAACTCCCAGTTTTTACCAGTGGGCAGGGAGCAGAGCGTGATGGACAGCCTGGATCATATGGGGAAGGTGGGGTCACTTTGCCAAGGAGAGAAGGTTGTAAATGGCTTAAACACCTGGGTTTATTTGAAGGTTGTGTGTTTGCAAGGCCTAGAAACAGCTGGGAGTTTTAATAATATCCTGTTGCTTCTAAGCAGAGCTCCTTGAGTAAATAGCCTGAGTGTTGTTTTGTTATGTTTTTGTTTTCTTCAAAGTTAAAGCACTTCAACTCTTTAAAAGCTTCACCTTCTCCATCATCTTTAATTTGGTTGGTATTTTTTGTGCTTTTATAACCAGTACTTGTCCTCAGTTTGCCTGCAGGTTCAGCCCTTCACCTTGTCCCAGCTCTCAGTAATTTCAGATCTTCTGGGTTTGAGCACCAGGGAAATTGTGTGTCCCCAACAGCAGCTTCAGTCTCTGGCCTCGTGTTTCTCACCTGGGACACAATCCCACGTGAGGCTGAGTCCCTCTGGAGGCAGTGAAGTCCTGCCCAAGGAGGCACAATTAGCGCAGCAGCTTCCTAGCTAACTGATGCTGATTTCCTAAAACCAATAAAGCTTTTATGCCAAAATCCCATGGTCTGTGAGCAGAGTTATACCCAGCCTCATCTGGCAAGAAGAGGAGTTTCAGGACCTCCTCAGGAATTGAGACCATGACTGAAACCATCCAGGTCACAGATCATGGAATATTCTGAGCTGGAAGGGACCCACGAGGACCGTCCAGTCCAACTCTTAAGTGAAGGGTCCACAACTCTGGGCTTGTGAGCACCTTGCTGTGAGACCCAGCTGACCTTGTCTGTGTTCCCCATGTTGGCTTGTGCAGATCCTGCTGCTGGAGGCTGCAGAGAGGAGCCCAGCCCTGGAGAACAACCTGCCCATCACCGGCACCACGGCCACGTGGTACGACGAGCTGCTGCCAGACGCCTTTCCCCTGCTGAACCCCGGCACTGTCCTGAGGAAAACCGTGGGATCTGGTGGTAAGCCTGGCTTGCTCTTCACCAAATCACCCATCCTACCTACACAATGCCTTTGGGTAGCTAAAAAGCAGTCTGGGTCTGCTCTGTCCTTGGAAGGTGCAGAGGAGAGGGCTTGGGAGGTCTCTGCCCTTCCTTGAGTTCAGCCAGAGCAGAGCAGGGATGTCCAAGGAAGAAATGATGAAGCTGCATTTCTCAGCTATGGTGGCAGCTATTATTTCTGTTGGCACAAACATCTGCTGGGAGCTGAATTTGGGTCTGTTCAGGTTCTGTTAACGCCAGCAGGGCCACTCTGCCTGCCTGTGTGTTTCACTGGGCTTGATTTAAGTCTAAAGGTTGTGGATTTTGAGGCCTGGACACATCAAAACATTCCTGAGGAAACTCCAGAGAGCCAACAGGACACAGTGGGACAGTTCCCGACCTACTGAGCACCAAATGCAGCATTTCCTGGTCTGGGAGCAGTGCTGGGGGTAAAGGACTGGGCTGCACAGGTCATTCTTGGTTTTATTAGGACAAAAAACTTTCCCATGAATAACAGCATCAGTTGCAGTCTGCTTTATATTTTCTAAATTTGCCATAAACACAACAGGCTGTTTTATGATCCCTCTTGTGGCATGAAAAAAAAATACAAGGAAGTCTCCCTGTGAGCCCATTTGGCCAGACAGATCCCCATGCATTGAATTCTCTTGACCTTGGCATCCTTTTTCAAGATCCCTGCTCTCTGCTTCCAAAGCCCTGTCTGTCTGTTGCTTTGCTTGCTCCCAGAGCAGTTCTTTAGGGCCTACTTTGCGTTTTTCTTCTTCTTTTTTTTTTTTTTTCTTTCTTTCTTTTCATTTTTTTCAGCCCAAGCAGTTTATTATGGCAGCCCTTCCTGCAGCAGACTTGGAGCAACCAGAACAGTCCAGATGTCATTCCTGTTTATGATTTGACATGATGCCACAACATAGAGGGAGGTTCACTAACAATATGTTCTGCAAAGTATTCTCAGAACCAGAGCCACAGCTGCCAGGAACTGAATTAAAGCATTTCCCCCCATGTCCATTATATGCTCATTCTGCCCTTTCCATCTCATTTATTTTTGTTGTGGCAGTGTCTCTGCACCTGCACTTCTGCTGCACCAAAGCCAGCCCAGCAAAATGCTGGTGACTCTGGGCCTTCCACGCCAAGTCCTCTCCTCATGGAGGCTCCTGCTCATGTCCTGCTGGGCACAGAGCAGTGGCTGCCTCTCCCCCAGGCTTGTGCCAGTGCTGCCAAGCAGAGCAGCTTCTCTGCAGCACTTTGAGCAGGCTCAGCACCTTCCCCCCTGCAGCAAAGGCAGGTGGTCACCGGTGCTCACCTCCTAGAGCAGGTGGTGATGTCTGAGCTGTGTGTGAGCCTGTCGTGTCAGACAGATTCCAGGCTGTGTGTGTGCTACCAGGTGTAGTCCTTGCTCACTGTTTCCCTTTGTTTTTCTGGCCTTGATTGATTTAACCTGGTGTGGAATAATAACCATGGTGTAATAAAGGGATCAGGAATGCACTGGAGCGTTTTGAGCCAGGACAGTGTCTTTCAGCAATGAGAAATAATCAGTTCAGTTGCTCATTGACACGTGGTTGCCTGCTGGAGCCCCTACTCAGCCTCTGTGGGCTTCAAATACTTGCTTTGCTAAAGAGCTGTGGGGATATTTTATGGATCTGGGTCCATATTTGGCCTCCTTCCCTCCCCACACCACTCTGTGTCCATGATTCAAAGCCAGCCAAAAAAACTCAGCATGGATTTTGGTGGACTGAAGGGAACTCCACACAATTTAGGATGGAGGGGAACTGCCCATTTTACATTTCAACACTGAGCTGTGACTTGTTGCTCAAAGCTGCCCCCAGGTTCTCTTACAGAGCTCTCAGGAGATCTTTCATCATGTGGGATATTGGAGTAGGTGGAAGTCAAGCCTGAGTGTCCTGGGTGATTTGGGGCTGTGGAAAGCTCAGCCTCTGTCCCTCCCACCCCTTCCCCTGAGCCTTCTGTGAAACATTCCTTACTTTGCCCTGCTTCTGGGTGTTCAGCCAAAATAAATCCCAGCCCTACCCTGCATGCCACCAGGCTGGATGGACCAAGGGCAGGATGCTGGGGCCTGGCTCAAAGGTGGGTGATATGGACAGAATGCTGTGAGTGCTGGAAATGTTTCTGGATGACCCCATAGCTCTGGGTTGGCTGATGCCTCTCCAGGCTGAGGTCCAGGAAAACTTGCTACTGTTTATGAGGGTGGTTATTCCTTCTGTGAGTGACAGGGCTGAGGATAGACAATCATTTAAAAGCAATCAGTGCTGTTGAAACAGCTGCACCACTGGCCTTTCTGATCAGCTTGTTAATCAACAGAATACGTTTTTCTGAGTATTAAGATAATATATATACTCTGGCTGAGCCAGTTGGCAGCAAGAGAACTAATTTTTCATATTTCTCTTTTTTTCTCCTCTTCTTTTTTTTTCTTTCTTTTTTTTTTTTTTTAACCTTTTTTTTTAATCCTTCTTATACAGAAGCTAAAGGACACAGAGGTGCAGAGGAGCAGCTGATACCACAGGGTAAGTTCATAGTTTCTGCTATTTCTCTTTCAAAGCACAAATCATTGTTATGCCCAGTCCTGTACTTACATCCCAAAAAGCAGAAGGGTCCTGTGGCCAGGAACTCTTTGGAGCCTCACAGATGGAGAGGCTGAGTTTGTTCTTTGGGTTTTATCTGATCATGGGCTGCTTTGGTTGGAGAGGCCAAACACCACTTTTATCACCTCTGAGACATGAATTCCCAGCACATAAAGGATGGACAGCACTGTCTGATGGAGAGGCCAATCATGGAAGCACATGTGGCTAGAGCCAGCAGGGCATGTCCTGAGTGATGGGAGAAAACTCTTCTCTAGCTGGTATTACCTGCCAGGGCCACCAGGAGCCTCTGGGGATGCTGAGGATATCACTTTCCAAAGCTCCATGTAAACAGAGCAGCTCCTGTGCAGGGAAAACCCTGGGGAAGGAGGGGAGCAGATGGTGTGTTGCAGGTTAATGACAGAGCCAGGAAGAAAATCCAGGTCTCTGCACACCTGTTTCGGTTTCCAGCAGTAAATTAGCCTCTGCTTTTTTAAAAATATTTTTCCTGTGGTCTTTTGCTTCATATTGTTTGGAGGATAAACTCTTACCACGGGCTTCAACCCTCTGGAATCAGTGCCACTACAGCAGAACTGATTTAAGCCAGCTGAAGATACGTTCTCCCCACTTTTCCCTGAATCCTTCCCTCTTTCTTCCCCCTACTGCACTTGTCTCTTTTAGGCTGGTAACACCATTTGTCACCAGCATGAGCACTTGCCTGACACATTACCCAGTGCTGCTTCTCCCAGCCTTCCCTTCAGCACTTCCCCCTCCAGGGAAGGAAGTGCCAGTTTCTCTAAAGCTCTGCTGCAGCAGTGGGATTGAGGATGCTGCAGGAAATGATTGCTCATGGTCTGCAGGACTTCATGGGATTGAGTTATAAGGTTGGACTGAAGGATTGAGGGTAATTTACACAAGTGAGGGAATGTTCTGACCCACACAGTGAAATACATTACTGACATCCAGTTCCTGCAGAAATGGAAGGAATTAATGTCACTTTGGGATGAAAAAACCTGTGCACAGCCCGGAGCCCCTGTGAGATGAATGAACACAGGAGAAACCAGGGAAACATCATTGATACAGAACCTCTGGGTGATGTATACAGAACAAGTGGGAGACAGGCTTTGATTTTCTTTGGCAAATCTATTTTGTGTATTTTGGTATGTTGGGATGGCCCTGGAGTTCATGCGTGTCTGGAGGAACCCAGCAAAGGACACCCAGACCCTGCCCAGAGCCATTCAGGACTTGGGAAGGGATCAGTGTGCACCCAGCACATCCCAGCTGGAGGTGCACATCCTGCTGACTTTTGGGGAGGGCCTTGTGCATGGGGATGTGCTTTTTCCTTTCAGGATTGAAGGAAGAAGAGGAGAAGCAAGGTCCAGTCTGGCTTGTCTGGCCTACCTGTCAGACAGCTCCTGGCACGCTGTCCGTGCCCTGCTGCACTTCTCCCTCTTTGCATCACTGAGTCCCTCTCCTCTGGTTTTGAGGCTGCTGAAGCCTTTCTGACCTCAGCAGTGCCCTAACATCCAGCTAATTTCCTTTCTCAACATTTTCAGGGATTCCAGGACAGGTTGGTCCCCCGGGCCCGGTTGGACCCACTGGGCTCCCAGGACCACCAGGGCCGAAAGGAGAGAAGGGACAGCCCGGTGAGAGGGGCCCAGCAGGGCCACCAGGTGAGTCCTGGAGAAGGGCAGTGCTGCTGTGACAGGAGATGTTTCACTTCATACAAATTGTCTGTGACAGCAGCTCAGGGAAGGCCAGACACGCAAGATTTGAGCATCTTCAATTGGTATCAAATCCATTCCAGCGAGTCCCCTGGCAGCTGGAGTCAGCCAGGAGCTCCCAGGGCAGACAACCACCTGCACGAGCAATGACAGACCCTGGGATTTCCTGTGGAGCTGGAGAGAGCCTGTCCCAGAAAGCTGCAGAGGAGGATCATGTTTCCCATCCTGCTCAGGAGCTGTAAGAAAGAGCCTGTGACCTGTCAGCCTTTGGAGCAGAGCATTCCCTGTTTAACCCTCGCACTGGGTGCCTGTTTTAACTCCCTTTTTTCTCCACCATTTGTGTCAAGCTGTCAGATGCCAGGAAGTCAAACTAATGATGCTTTTGTATGTTAAGGGAAAAGGTTACGAGGCCATTCTTTCACAGAACACTCCATTCCTGAGCTAGGAGTCTTTCTTCATTCCCCAAATGTTCCTGAATGTTTTGATAAAGGCGATACTGCACAATAGGTGCCAGACCTCAGGCTCTGTGCTCTGTGTCCAAAAGGCTGTGCCTTGTGAGCCTGAGCTTGGGTAAGATTTAAAACTCTGAGCATGCCTTAAATGTGAGAGCAGCCCTGAACACTTTTTGGCACTTTCTGGCAAGCTGTCAGTGGCCAAAGTCTGGCCAAGGATGTGTCTGCCTCTTTTGGTTTCTCAGTTTGCAACAAGAGCCTTGCAGCCCCACAGGACATGTGATCTGTCTGCTCCTGGACTGACTCTGCTTCCCCTGTGCTTCCCCAGCTTTCCTGGCAGGGAGGTGACACAGGTGTACCTGGAGGGAAAGAGGATTTGATTTCACACTTTGCAGCCTGTAGTTTCTCACTCAGGGAGAGGGGAGATTCCACTCTTTCAGCAATTGTGCTGCTCAAAGGCAGCACCTCTGAGCCAAGTCAAGCTCTCTCCTTTGCAGAGGAGGATGCTAAACAACAACAAAAAAACAAAAAAAAAAAAGAGGAAAATGGGGAAGCTGTTTCTATTTTCCTCACACCTCTGATTTCCACAGCAATAGTTCAGGACAGAAATCCTTTGTATTCTTGTTGCCTTTTTACATGATAGCATTATTAGCACATCCCCAAAGGCATTAACACATCCTCTCCTGCCTCTGCACAGGGATGCTGGGACCTCAAGGACCAAGAGGACTTCCAGGAGAAACTGGGATCCCAGGGCCCCCAGGTCCTCCAGGGCCACCAGCCACCCCAAGCCTCCCTCTCACCTTCCAGCAAGGGGTTCTCTACTCACTCCAGCCCACAGCTGAAAAAGAAAGTAAGTTCCCTCGTCGATTCCCATGTTCTCCTGTGGCACCAGCAGAGTGGCAGGCACAGAGCAGCTCAGCTCTGCTCCCACCTCCCTGCCAGGCTCTGCCAGGCCCTGGGAGCAGCTGGACAATCTGCCTGCATTGTGTGGGTCTCTTGGAAATTCCTGTTCAAGATGGAACGTCTTGGAAGCTACAGGGGGTTCACCTCTCCAAAATGAAGAACAACTTAAACTGTCAGTGAGAGCAGGGTTTGGAGGATTTTGTTCTCTCTGCCTGTTTTTTTAGGTTCATCACAGCTCTGGGAGGGCAGCTTGGTGTCCTTTAAGCTTCCATCAGGAGTGGCTGCTGGGAAGAGTCTCTGGTGAAATGACAGACAGGGTTTCTTTGTGCTTATGCTGATTTAAAAAATACAAAATTATACTTGAACAAATCAAATCGATTTGAAAAAGCTTTCTAGGAAAGGCACATCCTGCACTTGGATTGGAATGCTCTCAGATTTGGGCTTGATTCTCCTGGTCCAGCCCTGTGTGGCTGGCAGGTAATAGTGAGGAAGCAGAGCTCAGCTATCTCCCCTTGCTCTGGGAACTCCTGGAGTTCCAGCTCTGTCAGGTCTCCCATCTCCACTCCCCCAGACTTCAGCTGTGCCTCTTCCCCAGCTCTGCTGCTCCTGTCCAGCTTCAGAGCTCACTTCTCTTAGTTACAGCCAAGGATTACTAAGTCTCCCCATGTCTGACAGTTATCTTGAGCTCTCCCTTCCACCCACTCTGTTCTCCAGACTCCTTTTCCCCCAAGTGAACAGATGTATTTTTAATTTAGGGAGAACTTTAACAGCTCAATTTTGTATTCAGTTACTTAGGGTGTATGGGCAGGATGAATAACTGAGGTTCTATACTAAGATTTTCACAAAATACACATCAACATGCTGCAGTCATCAGCCTGGGAAGAAGGAAGGTTTTTATTAGAGTCTCCTCACTCCTCTCAGGGTCACACCAAACCTGGCCATTCTTCCTTTTATTCCAGTGATCCCCAAGGATGGTTTGGGTGCTGCTGCTGCCCCCTCCCTCCAATCACCCTTTGAATTAAACTCTTCCTTGTGAAGTAGTGGATAAATTTAAAAGTGAATACAGGCTTTGATTGCACAGCTCTCCCAGCAGATGTGTGAGAAGGGTGAACTCAGTATTGTGCCCAAATGGGAAGAGGATAAATGGTGGATAATTATTTCTATTATGTCTGCCAGCACTGGGCAGCCACATGGACTTGAGAGCAGTGAGGAGATGGTGACTGTTCCATTCCTCCCTCCATGCCTGTGATTTCTTGCTTTGCAAAAGGAGTAGCCCAAAACTTTATGACAGTTTTTCTTAATACAAACCCAGCTGCAAGTATAAGTTATCTGACAATGTTCTGGTAATACCAAGTCTATTTTCTTACTATTTTGCCTCTGTGTTGGCTGATTTTGCCTCCCACAGGCTGGTGGAAAGCTGATCCTCTGCCACCAGTAAAACTTAGCCTTGTAAATTCTGTTTAGATTTTTTAAATATGTATTTACTTGTTTTGAAAGGAGCACATCTGAAAACTATAAACACAAAATTCCAGCTGCCGACAGCAGAGGGAAGCATATTCCTGGTAATGGAAATGAGATGTGAGAGCTGTATCAGGTTATTGTTATTACACAGAGTTTGGTTCTGCCTGAACATGGTTAATGCCTGTGCCTTCATTAATTGCAACAAGTTCCTGTTGGCAATATTTATCCACAGGCAGAAGCCAGGAATGAGGAGACAAATATTTTCTCACAGTTTCCCTGTGCTGTGGTAAAAGAAATGGTCCCATTTTTCTCCCTCCAGATCAGGTAGCAGAAAAAAATGAAGACAGGATTACTTCATTTCCATCCTGTCTCAACAAATCAAGGCTATAATGGGGGAATTTATCCCTTAGTCAGAAACCTCAGCCCTTGGCCAGAAGCTGAGCTGCTGTTCCCACTGCTGGGGCTGCTGCTGCTGGGATCTCTCACTTTCCCTGCCACTTAAAAATGAGTGATCAGGTACATGGTCTAGAGCCAGCTGAGATCTATTCCTTGTGCTAACAGTGATGATTTCTAGGGAATAGTCAGAGAAAAGCATGTAAATCTCACTCTTGAGGGCTGTTTTCTTACGTCTCAAAGCTCTGCAAAGGACACATGAAATAAAATTAACCTGTTTTCATAGAATCATCACTGTTGGAAAAGACCTCCAAGATCAAGTCCAGCCATCAACCCAGCACCAATAAACCATGTCCTCAAATGCCACAGGCACACGTTTTTTAACACTTCCAGGGATGGTGACTCCACCACTCCCCTGGGCAGCCTGGGGGGGAGCAAGGAGAAACTGAGGCAGAGCAGCTGTGTGTCCTGCATGTCAGTGGTGACAAGGGGAGAGGGATTTGTGCAGCAAGACCCGTCCTGAGGAAGGAGAACAGAGCAGAGGAAGTGAAGGGGGAGGAGAAAAGGAATTGAGGAAAGTGAATCCTTTCAAAGTGTGCCCTGAGCTGCTTTTGCTGCTCTGCCTGGGCAGCTTTCACTGAGTCCTTCAGGGCATTCCTGGGCTGTTTCAGGGTGTTTCTGTCCCCTTCCAGGGAACATAGGTGCTCCTACCTAACCAGGTCACACTGGTTTCACTCTTCCTCTTGGTTTGGATAGGAGTTGGAAAGCTCCTGGAGCAAATTCAGTATCAAGATCTTCTCCAATGAAGCACTGTCTGCTGCTTTGGGGTATCCAGGAGCACTGAAACAGAATCCAGCTCTTGAGCCCAGCAGAGCCTGGGTCAGTGCAGGAGATTCCTGTTACCATTTGATGCAATTCTGTGGCTGCTCTAACAGTCTCCAGCTGCAGAGAGCCCCAGAATGTCCCTGTTTATAAGGAGATACAAGTTCTTCCTGCTGCTTTATGAGAATATGGAGGCAATCCCTTAAAAAATATATGAGGGTTGTGTTTTAACACACTTCAGTCCCATTTCATTCACAGTGTGTTTCATTGAGAGCTGATGCTGGAAGGAAACCAGGGTCTGGGTGAGTCCTGCCTGGCCAGGCAGCAGAGGAAGGAAGGTGCCACAATCCTGTGCTGCCCAGGAGGTGCTGAGCCCAAGGGCTGTTGATCAGAGCTCTCTTTTGTGTCACAATCATGGAATCACCTTTCATAAATAATGTTGAGTTAAATGTAGGGATGGGTGGATTTGTGGGAGTAACTCTGTCATCGTAATAATGTGCCATTTTACTGGAATGTTTTGTAACCCAAATCTTTATCCCTGACTTACCTCCAGCAGAAATTAAACCCTGGTTGTTTGCAGTCCATCCTCTGCCCCTCTCAGTGGATGTGCAGTTCATTTTGTTGACCACCTTAAAAACAAAAGGCTCTGTAACTGTTAATGCCTTCACTGCTGTTTGATGCTCATTTCCCAATTTCATCTTACTCCCAAGCTGTGATGGATTTTGACATGGTCAAATAAAACTCAAATTAATTGGATTACACACTTCACTGGGGTACCTTTCCTCCTGAACATGAAGAGTCTCAGTTGTTTTGTTTCAGGGCTGTGAGGAGGGGGAAGATGAATTGGTTTAGAAAGAGCAGACAAATAAATACCTGTTTGCATTCAGGCTTTAGGCACAAAATATGGTCCTTAGAGGGATCTGGGTTGGATCTTGTGCTGTCCTGCTGCCAGGAAGGAATTGCAGAGGTATCCTGTCATCCTTGGCAGGCAAAGCCATTGCACAGTTTTCCCTGGGAGCTGCTTTCAAACAACTGGCTTGGAAGTTCCCTCTGTCATTGCCAACGCTCCAGAAGCTGGGAAGGCTTTGCAATGTGTCTGCTAAAATTTCTGGAGAGTTCACCTTCTGACCTTTGGGCTGGTCTCTGCAGAGTAAGCAAACACCCTTCTGACCTTCCTGGTGTCACTTGACATTTGCAGTGAGACATTCCCAGCCTTTTCCTGCACAGGGTTCCCCTGAATTTTACTGTGATGAGTTACAGGGATGGGTGGAAGGAAACATGAGTAAGCTTGAGGTCATGGGCAGGAGGAGGTGGACATTATTCCTGCATGGCAGCCTCCAGCTGTGGAAAATGTGGGATTTTCAGTGGGTTTGCCATCCTGGTGACCAGGAGCCAACATTTTCATCCAGGTTAAACAGGAAATTTCTTGGTCCTACAGCAGAGGGTCAGTGGATTGTAAGCCTTGGTAGCACCAGGGTGTGAGGTTCCCTTGCTTGTTTTGTGGCCTTGTTGTCTTGGTTGTTCATTGAATTTTTGCCCCAGATTTCCACAACTGTCCCAGAGTGTTGTGGGGTGCTGAAATAAAAGGTGCTGCCATACAGGTACCTCCCCAGACTGCAGGTGTGCCACAGGACAGCTGCAGAGGGAACAGGGTTGTTGAATATGGTTTTGGATTCATAGTAAATAGTGATCATTGCTTTATTGGCTCCAGGCTGAGGGAAGATGTGGACAGCTACAGGCTGCTGGGTTTTATTCTTTACTGGAGAGAGCTAAGATGTGCAAAAGCACAAAACTCCTCCAGTTCCTGCTGCTGGCTTCCCTGCTCCACTCCCATTTCTCTCCATTTCCCAGAGCTCAGTGAACCTGCCCAGTTGAACACCTAAAATAATCCAGGAAAATAAAACACCTAAAATAATCCAGGAAAGTTTCCTGAGCACACGGAGGGGGCAGAGCACACCCATCCCTGGGCTCTCCTGCATCCTTACACCTCAGGGCACCCCCAGAGCACCTGCCCAGGTGAGCTGGCTGGGCTGGGGGCTGTGCAGGACCCTGGTGCCAGGAGGACAGAGCCCCACAGCCCTGCTGCATGTGCCAGGATGAGATGGAGGATTTGGGGTCAGGCATTCCAAGGCAGGATTATACAGGTGGATAAAACACCAAGGTTTTTGGGAGAAAGGACAGCTTGCCTGGGGTTGTCAGGGGTGAGACGAGCAGCTCTGAAGGACGAGGGTCACAGCTCTTTGAGAGCAAAGGGCGAGTGCTCCAGGAGCCCAAACTGAGCATCCTGCAGCACTGCCGGCCCCTGGCCAGCAACGGGCGCCAGAGGATTTGGGAAAGAGATCCCGGCCGGGCTCGACACTGACTCTGCTCTGTGCCGCAGATGGAGAACCCCAGCTGGCCTCCACCGTCATCGACACCATCATGGCTGGACTGCCAGGACCGAGGGGAGCCCCGGGGCCCGCGGGGCCACCAGGTGACACCCAGGGCTGGGATGGGAGGATGGGGAGGATGGGGAGGATGGGGAGGATGGGCAGAGCCTTTCTCATGGAGTGGGTGCCCAGTGGGTGCCTGCAGGGGAGGGAAGTGGTCCTTACTGGAAGGGTGACAAGAAGTAACTGGGCTTTTTATCTATTGACGTTTTACCTTTGGCAGGACTCATCTTGAGAAAGGGGCTAATTAAAAGCTGTCTTTAAGAGTGGGTTATCCACTGATTCCTTCCTGAGAGCAGAGTTGTTCTCCCCCTGCTGCAAACCTGTCCTGATCTCCACCAAGCAGGGTCTGGTCTGACGCTCTGTGATGTCTGTGAAGACTTTGGAGCCAGTTTGAGCTATTCCAGATCTTCACCAGTATAACTGCAATCAGAATCTGGGATGAAAATTCAGTGACAAGCCTTCTTTCTCTCTGTGCTGATGGGTGGCTTAAATGATAATATTCCTGCAAACGTCAGCACTTCCCTGTATGATGCATATTTAGGAGTGAACTCCCATTAGTTGCAGAAAAGGCTTCTCCTTTCATTATGAGGGCCTTTCATTTATCCTTCAATTCCTTTATTCTTTGACTTAAGCATTTGTATGGTGCATTAATGATTGAGGCTGATTCAGCTATACTTTGTGTATAATGTCCACATTGTTTCATCTCAAGGGTTGTGACAACTAAAGCAGAGAGGAGTATTGCTAAGTTCAGGCTAAGCAAATATCCTGTCTCCCATCTGCAGGTATAATTTAACAGCTACTGTTGAGATATAATTATTTTTTCAAAAGGAATGAATCTGTTAAGTGACTGTGTGAGACAAGCTGACCTGTTTAGATGGTGTTTAACTCATCCTGGAAGCAGCACTCCTGTGGTACAGATTTTAAATTAATTTATTGCCACTGGAGTGAGTGAAGACCAAGAGACAGCTTTGCTTTGCCTCACTCAGCCTCTCCTGTCTCCATCTCCTTCATGTTCATCCTCAGCTTTCGGACACCCCAGAGGAACCAAGTGCAGCTGCCCTGGGGCTTCCCTTGCCACCTGAGATTGTTTCAGGAGCAGCACCTGCAGTGTCTTGCTCTCAAGCAGCTGATCCATGGATCTCAAAAGTTTTCTCAGAAGTTGCATTTTTAAGGAATAGAAATGTGGACATTACTGGCATCTTTCCTTCCTCTTTTCACCATTTTTTCCCTCCCAGAGCTCCAACATCTCCCTTAGGGCATGGGGATGTATTGTGTCAGGATGTGGGTGTCCAGTAATCCAGTGTTTGATGAAGGGTTCTCACTCACTGAGAAACTCAGCAGAACACGAAAGGAAGTAAATGCCTTGAAATTTAGGGTTCTTCCTTCTAAGCCTCCTTAAAATTGTCTCCAATTATGATTCCCACCAGGACCACCAGGTGCTTCAGGACCCAAAGGGCCCCCAGGACCCATTGGAGCCCCTGGATCACAAGTAAGGTGCTTTGGTGCTTTGGGGTGAAGGGCAGAGAGGGGTCAGGGGTGAAACATCATCTCATTGCACAAGCAGGGAGAGTAATCTTAGGTTTGCTGGTTTGCTCCCCGTGAAATTCTGTGATTTAATTCCTTTTCCTCATTCTGGGTTGTGCTGAGAGGTTGAAATGGTTGTGTTTTCTAGATTTTCCCTTAATCATAACAACACATTGTGCTGCTGCTGTGTCAAAACATTTCACTGTGGCCTGAGTTGATGCAAAGGATCTGACATGGGCTTTACTAACACAGTGATAGAAGAACACTGCATTTCCTGTGGAACACATAAAAAGAACAAAAAATGCATCAATGGGAATTCACCAATTCACCAGAGTGAACATGTTAAGCTTACTTTTTCAGACACAGCACTTTCTATTCAAGAAGAACATCACAAATTCCCATCAGTTTGATTATTTATTGATACAAACATTGTGGAGGGGGAGATAATAATGGAGTGAGAAAAACTCATTCCAAAGAATTTATGGTAGTAGAAGGGCACAGTACTCACATGGATGGAAAAAGCTGGTTAAATGGAAAGGAGTGAAATCATGAATAGGAAACTGCCAAACTGCTCCAAATTGTGGCTGACTGATACAAAGGGACTCAGTTTTGGGAAGAACCTTGCTTAATGTAGAGGTAAAGCAGCAGCATCAAGTTTTTCCAAAGGAATCCCACATGACTGGAGAGCCCAGAGAAATACATCCCTTTATAAAGGGATGTAACTCAGATCCAATAAGAGGAGGTTTGGAACTGAAAATAGAGAAGATTTTTCCTATGTGTTTATTAACCACTTTGAAGAAGCAATGGACAACAGGTTAGGGAAAGTTTGCCAGTGTAGCAGAATCCTTTCAATTAGGGAATGCTCTGGAGAACACTGAGAAACTCCAGATTGATACAAGCTCAGTGAGAGATTTGGCAGCCAAATGACAGATGCAGTTTAACATCATTAAATATAAGGTAATTCACAATTCATAAGTAGATTCTGTAGCTGAGTCTGGCTTTTTGACACGCAGCACACACTGTAAATCTTTTATTTTTGCAAGGTGGAATTCAGTGTTCTTGAGCATCACCACACACTGCTGAGAGCTGTCAGGAGCAGAGAATGCTTATGGACACCTGGGCTTTGTTCATGCTGCATGTGCATTGCTCTGTGCCCTACCTCGTTTGGCAGCCCCAGGGAACCTCCTAAACCAGGCCTGGGTCTCTGAATCCTTGGTGGGGAGCTCAGCTGAGCTGGTGGGGCTGGCTGCAGGCAGGGAGCAACGTGCTGCTGGTGGGCATTGCTGGCTCCCAGCTGAAACTGGGACAGGGCTCCTCGTTTGCACCCTTAAATCACATGTGTGCAACCTCCTTGGGCCACTTCACATGCACTGAGCTCCTCACAGCAATGCTCATTTCTCTGGGCCACAAAAACCCATTTCTCTGGGTGCTGATGTGGGGATTTGGCCTGGAGGGGAGCTCCAGACTTTTCTGCAGCCTCCAAGACAACGTGCAAGTCACTTGAGGTGGAAAAAAAGCATCTTGTACGTGGTTGTGGGGAGAGGGGGAGCTGACAGGCTGAATATAAACAAACAATATTGTTCTCTCTTGGTCTGGTTAATAATTGTGGCTTCTCTGGGTGGATAAGTTAAGAATTTGGATCAATTTCTGCATAGCAGTTCAATTAGTAGAAATCTGGAGACTGCGCCCTTCTTAGCTGTTGGTGACTGCTTTATAGATTTGTTCAACCCAGGGAGTTAAATTATTAGCAGAGATTGGGCTTAATTTGAAAATTGTTTATTAGGGTGAGTGAATAGCTTCAAAATAATTTCCACTACACAATCCAATTAATTTTCAGGTATGTGTGCTTGCTCCTGCCACCCACTGAGGCAATTAAGAAGTGGGGGGAAGCAGTGGGGGTTTTTAAGTTAAACATACTACCTGTGTATTAATTTCTTCTTGGTAACTGAGAACAAGAACTGTCCTGTCATACTGACCCTGAAAAAATGTTACATCAGGGGCCTGCAGTGCATTAAAAGACCCAAATAGAGGGATCTGCAGAAAGTACAGGGCTCAGGATATCTGCAAACAGAGCTCCTGTTGTATTTGCTTGAGGGAAAAAGAGAATCCAGCCCAATTGCTTGATGGGTGTATGAGGTTTTCAGGAGCTGAGGATCACTGGGAAATGTGTTCACTACACCTAAACAAAGGTTGCACAGTAGAAATTAATTCCTTCTCATTCTGTATCTCTCCTAGGGCTTGCCAGGATCTCCAGGACAGCCTGGACCAAAAGGATCCAAAGGAGACCGAGGAGAGAGAGTAAGGTTCTATATGCACAGAGAGATTCCCACAGCATTTGGGGGGTGAGGCCTCAGGAATTATGTACAACACAGATCTCACAGATGCAGGAGGACTACAGCCACCACCAGTTTTAAATGCAAAGTTTCTGGGGTTTCTGCAAGAACCAAGATGAGGGATTCCTGTACAGAGAAAGGGTTGAATTCCTTGCAAAGTCAGATGTTCCCTAAAGAGATGCAGGTAGCAAAGGCATGGTGTATAAAGGCTGTAGAGACCAACTTTCTTTCACCAGCCAAAGCTGTTTAGAGTGTGGAGTGTTTTGAGAGGTCTAACTGAACTCTTCCTTCTCTGGCACTAAAAACTCACCAGACTTTTCCTAAACCAAAGTTATTCCCCAGGTCAAATGATTTTCTTAACATATTTGGAATACTGTTCTTAATGTTTATGTGCCCTAGTGGGCTGTCCAGTGCTGATAACTAAACTTAGAACAAAAAAGCTGTTTGAATGTTATTTTCAAACTGGTGAAGTTTAGGATCTACCACAGAAATATCTAGCAAGGGTATAAATGTGTCAGATTCCCAGTCCAGCATTCAAGCATTGGGAGGGGTCTGAAAGTGGCATTTGGGCCTTTGGCTGCTTCTGTTCAGCTTAATTACCAGCAGGTCATGGTCTTTGAAATCTCTGGGTGAGTCAGGGAGCACAAAATCACCCTGGAGTGGGGTAGGTGGAAGAGGATCATTCAGCCCTTAGGTCTGTGAAATGCGCTGTGGAGAATCACGGAGACCCCAGCGTGGAGAGAGTCAAAGGAGGGGAGAAAGACAAGGAGGAAAACTTTGGTTGGTGCCTCTAAAGTGATGGATGTTTGCAGTGGAGGCCACAGCTGTGGGACACAAATTCCCTTTTCTCCCAAGGGCCGTTTTACCCTTGTGTGGATGGAGGTGAACGGGGGCTGTAGGTGACGTGATTCCCCCGTGCCAGAATCTCCTCTGCATTCCTGCTCCCCCTTCCAACCCAGCAGACAACAGGGGTGCCTGAAAGAGCCAAGACACACAAATGCAGATCAGTGAACTCCAATATTCACTCCTGACTTCTCAAACTCATGGCAATAACCAGCAAGAACCTGCTCCTCTCTCCAGGCTCTGTGCAAGGGGAGCAGGCCCAGGTGCTTTCACCCCTCCTGAGGGATCAGATATCTGAGGGTGGGGCACATCTGCCCTTTGAAATCTCTGTTATATTTTAGTTTTGGGTGCTTGGTCCTGTTCTTATGTAAGAAATCACTTGCACTTCCCTGAAAGACAGAGGGAGGGTTGGTGATTTTTTGTAACACTTTCCTTGTGCAGCTCAGCCAGTTTGGGCATGACTTGGCTTTCCAAATAGATTGCAGACTGCTGGAGTTCTGGGACTAGAATTCAAGATGCTGATAGAGAGCAAAACCTTAACTGGTGAGGTGGATGCATAGATTACCAACTACATCTCATTGCCATTCAGTCTTTATTTTCAGCTAAAAAAAATTAGAAGGGCACAGTGTGTGGCCAAGTGTCACATTTCCATCCAGGAAATGATAAAACTCTTCCTCAATGATTCATTTAACATTTTCCTGTAGTTTGTGGTAGATCATATTATGTACATTAATGTACCAAAATCTTGTTGCATTGTGTCCATTCACCCCTTAGAATTTGGTTTTGTTCTCTCCTTGCTGGGGATTTAGAACTGTAACTCTCCTCTTAGGTTTGGGACAAATGAGATTTTCAAATATCAAAATGACTTGATAAATAGAATAAAGCCCCTGTATTTCCTGTCCATCCTCTGTTAGTGTGGAAAGGGAAGCTGACAGCTTTTTCTGTCAGAATTTCTGTAGGATGCTCTGTGTGCTTTTCTGTCTTTTGTGAGCACAGCTTTGGATGCTGGTTTTGACAATGACGTGCTGCAGTTTTGGGTTTGGTGGATACAAATGAGGGCTGGAGCACAGGAGCTGTGCAGCTGCAAAGAAAAGCAGAGGAGGGGGTTCACAACATCTACTGAGATTTGAGGAAATGTTATTATGCATTCTCCCTGCTTAATCTCGACGAGAGCAGATGTGGAAGGGACCTGAAGCAGTCAGAGCGCAGCCCCTGGATGGCTCAGCTCTGTGTGCTGCTCACGCTCAGCCCCTGCTCATCCCAAACACTGCCAGGCAGGGAGGCTCCACAGCATCTCCAGGCAGACTTCAGAGCAACAGCCAGGGAGGCCTGGGATAAAAGATATTGCCAACATCCAGCCTAAATATCCTTTGATCCCCTTTAAGCTGATAACATCCTTTCTGTTCCTCCTGGACATGGAGCACAGCCTGTTTATGTCTGTTCAGTGTGTTGTTGTGCTCCTCTCTGTGATTTTTCCTCTTGCCTGTGCTTTTTCATGAGCTTTGCTCCTTCCAGTGCAGAATCCAAGTGTTTCCCTTTGAAGATACTGGGAGCACTTGACAGACAGGGCCTTTCTCCCAGAGCTCTCCCTGTCCACAGGGGCCTTTTCCTCTTGCTGGCGAGGCATTCCATAGAAATTCAGTCCTCCATGGGAATATTCTGTAGGTGCTTCTTGGTTTTATACAAATTTGATGGACACAAACCCAGCAGCTCTCCCTTTCTACTGCAGAAATCTGCTACCATATATGTAGTTATTTTGGGGAGAAAAAAGGATGTGTTTGTTTCTATGTGTGTCTATGGGAGAAGAGCCAGGGGAGAAATATGTGGCTGTTTTATTAATGGATTTTTATAAATGCTTTTCTGCCTCTTCTTCCCAAGCTTCTGCTTTCTCACTAAATAACCTATAACTGCTCTCCTGGTCAGGGATTCTGCCCTGCCTCAGGTGCTCCAGGGTGGGAAACCAGCACCGTGCAGGAAAACAGGGGAAAAAAAGATGTTCAGTTTAACATAATTCCATTCTGCCCCAAACCAACAAGTACTAGTTCAAACTGTTTCTGTAATAACAAAAAACAAAAAAAAAACCAAAAAGAACAAAAGCCTCTCACTGAGAACAATGTGAAAATTAGCACAGCAGGAGAAAGAAACAAACCAACCAAAATATTGTACCTGTGTTTTGATCAGTAGCTGTGGGGTGTGTGTGGAGCAGGAGCAGATTAAATCAGTGCTCGGTGGGAGTCTGGGCTCTGTTCTGGCTGGGGCAGCAGCGGCCCATCACTTCTACCAGAGAGAAGAATGCAGTGTCTTTGTAAGGAACAAATCTCCAACCAAATTCCTTCCTGGTATAATGTAACTGACTGCTGGAAAGTTCAAAAAACCTGCTAATCGTCTTACAGAGAGGGCACTGAGCTCAGGAGCTCTGTATCCAACCCAGCTCCTCCAGAGTCTGATGGGATTTGGAGCTGATACTTGACAGAAAACCATAACTCCCTTTTGCTGTCTCTAAGTGATAATGTCAAGGGAGAGGAATTTTTTTTCACATTATCCCAAGTGTAAGGTTTTTTTCATTAAGCCATCTTAATTCCACTAGTAAAAATTACACTGTGTTCTTGTCAAGTGGCAAAGTATCTCCTAACGACACTGCCTTTATTTCCAACAGGGGCAAGCAGGTCTGCCTGGAGAGAGGGGCATTAAGGGATTTCCTGTAAGTGCTGCACTCGTGGGTGGGTGCCAGGCTCAGGTGGGGTTGGTGCCTGGCACTGTAGGTGCCCCTGGCTGGCCTGGAGCTGCTTCAGCTCTGCTGGCTCCAGCTCAGACATTTGTTGCACAGACACCCTCACCTTAACGAATCCCTGTGCAAATGAAGCATCCTCTGGTGCAAAACACAGTGCTGATGTGACCTGGATGGCATCAGCCCAGCACAGGAGCTGAGCTTTGCCTGCAGATCCCTCTGGCCAGAGCTGGGCACACTCAGCTCTCCCTGGGCCCCAGGAGTTCCTGGCGCTGTCAGAGCCCAAAGGTGGGCACAGTTAAACAGCTCAAAGTCCATCAGCTGCTCTCAGCTCCCTCCTGCACCTTGGTCAGCAAAGCTGAGCTGGAAACCCTGTAATGAGATTAAGAGATGTCTCCAAATGATTTTTTGGCAGTATCTGAACAGATGCACAGAGGAGATGTCTGCACTAGCACATATGGCCAGTGGAAACAAACCAGTGGTGATGAAGGTTGGCTGACAGAGATCTAGTGGAGAAAACTGGGGGATTTTTGGGTGGCAGCTTCCAGAGAGGTCCCAGAGCCTCTGGGAGGGTTCTCATCTCTTTTTTTCTGATTCCACTTCATCATTTCATACAATTCACAGAACCTCTTTTTTGGTCCTTCCTCCCATGCTCACCTCTGCTTTACAAATATCTCAGGGAAGTCCAACAAATTTGAGGAGCATGAGCCTTTCCACTCAATTTTAGATTGTTAATTTTGTTTTATGTTTAGCTTAGGGTGGTTTCATCTCTCCCTGTCATCTGCTCTTTGGAAAGTGCATGAACTTCCTGGCTGGGGGGAAACATGAGACCAGTGTTCACAGCACTTCTTTGTTCAAAAAAAGCTTAATGAGCATCTTCAGAGGCAGAAAGTGATGTGACTAATTAATGAAAACAGAATGGAGGATTTTTCTGTTCTAAATCAAGATGAAAACATGCATGTTTGGGGGAAAGGAGCAATTTATCTGTGGTTTAGCATACAATGTTGTTCATTGAGAGCCCAATGAAATGTTTGTGGTCTTGCTGGGGCCCTGGCCATGGCAGGTGGCCACTCCTGGACAAGTCCATTTGTGTTAGAAGTGGTGGTGACCTCCTGGGAAGCTGACAGGAGCCAGGGCAAAGCTCAGGAGAGCACTTTGGCCCTTGGCATGAAGTGCCAGTCCATGTGTTTTCTGCTGGTGAAATACTTCTTTAATTTGCTCCTTTGGTGGGGAGGGATCCAAGGGGTCCTGGAAGGGTCCTCAGCCACATGTAACCAAGTTTCCCTTTCTTGGTTTTAGGGTGAACCAGGCAAGAAGGGTGAGGAAGGTGACAAAGGTGCTGATGTAAGGATGTGTTTCTACTGTTTTACTTTCCTTTCTATCACTTTGCTGTCCTTCAACCATATTCCCTTTGACAGGTGGCTTTGTGGGGGCCAGAGGGTGAGTTCACAGTTAAAAAAGTGGGTTTGAATTTAATGTGTGCCAGAAATCCTGGTCTGTGAGGTTTCTTTGACCAGGTTGTCACCATGTTCTTGTGTACCTCAGTCCCCAGAGGTTGTTCTGTCACATGGAGCTGGTTGGGAATTGCTGCCCTATTGTCCCTCCCACCTGCAGAGGGACAGACTCCCAGAAGAGATCAAACTGCATGTGCAGAGCTTTGGAGTCCTCACATCTCTGCTCTCAATCCCTGAAATAATTCCCAACATCTCTTTGACCCTTCAAGCCCACACCTAAGGTGAAAAGGACAACAAACTCCAGCCTGAGTGTACATGAGGAGCTCTTTGAATAGGGATTTCTCCTGCACTCCTACTTAGGTCATCTCCTCTTTTACATCTTTTCATTTTTAAACATCCACACTGCAGGATTTGGTGCTATGAAAGCAATGTTATGAACAAGAAGCCTGTTCTACAACACATTCCAACATTAGTTTTGTTTTCTTTCTTGCAGGGGGAAGGTGTCCAACAGCTTCGAGAGGCTCTGAAGATTTTAGCTGAGAGGGTATTAATCCTTGAGCACATGATAGGAATTCATGGTAAGCACTGCTAAGGTTTTCTTCTCTAGAGAGCCAAGGGCTCTGTTCAGGCTTGCTGGTTAAACTCCATCCCAGTTTCCTGAGCTCTCTGGTGTCTCTTCAAGCCACGTTTTCAAAACTAGGTACCATGACTTAGAGGTGCTTGAGTTCCACCAGCTGCACTACTTCCTCTGGCTTTCCAGTAGCAGGTGAAATGACCCTTACAGTGATTTTTGTTACAGTTCAGGCAGCCAAGTCACGAGCAGCAGCTCAAGCCATGTGGCACAGATCATCCACCAGCTTCCCACAGAGCTGCCTGTTCAAGTCTTTAGGCCAGATCATTTAATCCTTTTAACAGCATCTTCCAAGTGACTTGAAAACCACTGAGGCCCTTGCCAAAGCCCAGACAGCACTGCCATGTCACCCTGAAAATCAGTGATCCCTGAACATTTTGTGATCATAACTTACATTAAACCTGTTTTCACAGTCAGATTTAATGGAAGTCCCACATGTTATACGTTCAGGTAGATTTTTGTGATCTCTTGTTGGCTTTCCCATCACTGGTACAGTGGGTGCATCATCCCTTAAAGAATGTCCTCTTCCCTTATCCACAGTGTGGTGTTGGTTATTGTCACAGGATTTGGTTATGGTCAGACTGCTCCTTTTGGTGTAGCTGAGGATCAGTTCTCTCAGAGCAGCCAAAACCTGCTGTGCCAGTTTCTCCCCTTTCAGAAACACAGTTGGAGGCAAAATGTTTGGCTGTGCCATCCCAGCCTGTGGGCAGCAAACCTGTTCCTTGGTACTCACCAAGTCCCAGAGCACTTTTCTGTCCTTGACACCTGGAACCTCATTGTGAGCCCACCTCACACCTCCCCTCAGATCCTTTCATTGGGATGTGGCTTTTGGATATTGATTTAAGCTGTGGAAATGCTAAACATCTAAAATGCCCAGCAGTCCTGACAATGCCTCACTACACAGTGACAATGCACTTCAGGCAGCACCTTGGGATCCCAGCCCTGTCTGGAGCCAGCAGGGCTGGGATGGAATTGTTGCTGGACCCTTCCAGTGCCAGGGCATGGCTGGCCTGGCCTGGAGCCTGCTGTGCTCTGCTTGGTGGCCTTGTGCTCTTGCAGGCCCCAAGTGCTATTTCCAAAATCAACAGGCAGCAACAGCGTAAGATTTTTGGGAAACCCTGAATCACAACACCATGATTCAACCACACTCACCCTGACCTTACCTCTGCACTAATCCTGCTTCACTTCACATTCTCATTCCAAGGGTAGAAAAAGACGTTTTTATGCTGCTTTGCTTTGAGCTGGTGGAGGTACCAGGGAGATGCCCACCCAATTTCCTAGGCAGCAGTCCATGCCAGCTGGGATGATCTGCAGGGAGAAGGCAAAGGGGGATTCCCTGGAAGAGTCCATAAGAACAGGGCATTTACAGTACCCAGGGCCTGGGCCTCCCTTGGCTTTCATGTTGTACCTTCATTTATAGTGGTATAAAGCAAAAAGTCAGCTCTTTAGGAATCTTCTGTAGACCCTGGAGCTGGGGTTCACACAGCCTTGCCCCAGCAGAACTGCCCGATTTAGCTGTTTTTCACATTCTGTTTGGAAATACAGCAGCAACAAGGCCTGTGCTGCTGTTATTTTGAAACAGTCATTTCAGCAAACCATTTGTATTGATCTGTTACTGCTTGGGATGGAGATGAGTTATTTACACCCATGTGTACTTCTATACCAGTGTAACTGCATCAGCAAAAATGGATGGTTTTTAATTGTGCACTGTGGTTAGGTCATATTTAAACACCTATATTTTATGACTTTATGTTTTTTTTTGTAAGTATTGACAACTGTATTCTTACTCTGTGCCTTAGATATAGTTCCATTCTTTCACTTCACACATATTTTAGGCCCTACAAAAATACTGTTTAGAAAGGGAACTTGGAAAGTAAGTATTTTCCTAGTGCAGTTATGTTCATCTTTGGGTATATGGTTAAAAAAGCCCCAACAAACATAGAGAAAAAGACATTAAATAACAAAAAATATTTTTCTTGAGCACAGACCTCCCTGGGCTGAAAGGCAGCACAGAATTTTAAATCACCCGGCACCAACTGTCTGGTCATGTTCCCAGTGTAGGTGTTAAGGATTTGACCACAGGTCCTGGGGTTAGCCCAGCTTTAAAATCCCACTCAGAAATGCCAATCCCATGCTCTCATTTTCCCAAGAAACTTCCCACTGAGCATGGTTTCCAAAACCACAACCACCCAAGCAACAAAGCAAAACATCCCAGCAAACAAACTTCTCTGCACTGGGAGGGCAGCTGGAGCTGACCTGGCCTGGAAGCCGCAGAGAGCAGCAGCAGGACACAGCAAATTCCAAATTGTTTGGCAGGGTTTGGTGCCAGCAGACAGAGCCCAAATCCTCTGGCAGCCAAAAGCTCACTGGAAACAGAAATGCTGCCTCGTGGGATCCAGCCGAGGCTGGCACGTTGGGCTCCTGGCAGGGAAACACAAACATCCAGCTCTGGAGGCAGAAGGAAGAAGAAATTGGGGCATTGGAAATGATGAGGCAGATCAAGTCACCAGCATCTGTTGCTGAAGAGTGGCCCAGAGCAGTGAATATTGAATTTGTTTAGCTGAGGGAAGAGCAGGAGCTTGTTACCTGGAGATGCTGCAGGAGCAGGGACAGCCACCACCCATTCCCAGCTGATTTGGCTGCAGCCCAGGGTGGGTCAATTCTTCCATTCCATCCTTTCAGTGCCTCCAAATTTCCTTTACTAGGAGTGAAATGGTATTTAAACCCTAAGAGCATCACTGCCCACCAGCTCATCCTGCAGTACCAGGAGTCTCTGGGCAGTGCTGAGTAGCTGCTGCAGCCCAAGTAAATTTATAATTAATAAAAGAACAACACTTTAGAAATGAAACTACAAAGGAGAGCAGGCCCTGCTGTAGGAGCACTTATCCCAGAGAACTCAGGCAGAGCAGAGGGAAAACATCTAATGCAGGAGTAGAGTGATGGCAGCAAACCTGTATCTCCAGTGCTGCTTCCTGCATGGAGAGCAAGCAGGAGAGCACACTGCTCCCAGAGGAGGAACACTCGGAGGGGCCCATGAGTGTCTTCCTCAGCCTCCCCTTTTAAATAGTGCTCTCCCGTGACTTTCTCTCCTTACAGACTCTTTGTCTTCCATTGAGCCAGGCTCTGGACAGGATGTGATCCCGGGCTCCCCCCTGAGAACCAGCATCAAGATCAAGCGAGGAGGACCCCGGCAGCCCCAGGCCCACCAGATCCTCTCTTCACTGCTGGATGACGGTGAAGGCAGAAGGAGAAGCCACCGGATGAAGTAGGAGCATCTCCGTGTCCTCCCTGCCTGTTCTCCAGTTAAAGATACAGTACCCAGTGCTTAATTGCACCCTGCAGATGAAGTGGGTGAGAGGCTGCAGTGTTGTTGGCTCAATACCGAGCTCTGATTGCAGGGAATAACTTATCCATAGCTCAGAGAGGGTTTTGGGAATGTTCTCCTGGATTTTGTTGTTTTGCCTTTGGAATAGGAGTTGTCAGGTGTCTCAGAGGCTGCCTGCAGAAATGGCATCTCCTGGCTGTGCCTCGAGGGTTTAACCCTGCCCTTGACAGTCACTCAGTAAAGCTCTGCTTAACTGGCCAAGATTATCCTCATCCCACCCAGACCCAAAGCCGAGCTTCAGCCTTGTCCATTGCTGTAGTTGGAGGCCTCTGCTTTTATTTCCTGTGTTGGTGTCACGCTGACTTCCAGGTGCAACTTCCACAGGCCATGAAAGCACGACCTGCAAGGATTTATTTTAAACAAAGAACAAATCAGAATACAAAGTACATTTAAAAGTATGACTCTGAAAATTCAGGTGGCTCTCTGGACTTCAGCAACAAAATTCTGGCTTTTCATGTTGCTAATTGCATGTGAATGACATTATTTCTATTTGTGGTTGGCTAAAAAAGGACTTTTGATGCAAATGCTCATGGCAACATTGGCTTTCTGTCTATCTTCTGGGAGTTTAGAATGTTTCTGTGAAAACACAGAGCAGTTTGCATGAGATATGATGGAATTGTGCAAGAATTTTCCCATACTGTGTTCAGCTTGTGCATACATCCAGAGATAATTAATTTAAGTGGTGGCAGTAACTATTCACAGAAAAGGATATTTTGCAATAGTTTCTTAATCCTGCAGCAATCAGGAAAAATGTTTTCACTGTGTTTTGTTTTAATCTTGTGAGTAAATCCTTGCCATTTGGATCTGGAGATAGTGTAGTAGCAAACCACAGCCTAGGGAATTAGAGACTTGTCAAGAGCTTATTTGCACTGGGAGTTAAATACAGAGTCATTTTACTTTTTGCAATAACTCATTATTTTAGGGGAAGTGCCAGCTTCCAGGTTAAAGAAGTGGAACCTGCCCTTCAGTGACAAATGAATCACTCCACCTGCTGTGCTAACCAGGTTGGACAAGCTGATGTCATTCATGTAGACAGTGATTTTTGTTAGAAGGGGAAGATTAATCAACTAAACTTACTGGACTGTTTTTTACTTTTTAGCTCTTTTTATTCTTTTAATTACTTTTAATTCCCAGTTTTCAAATCCAGCCCAGGACAAAAGTGAGCAAACTGAGTTGTGTTATTGCCCCTCTGGTTCCAGGAGGACACAGCTGTGTGAGCAGGCTGGCCTGCACTGCTGCAGGCTTCTGCCAGAGGCTTTCCAAGGAAAACACTCTACAGTCCCTGTGTTCAGCACCCCAAGTGATCTTCCCAAGGCAAAGCCTGCTGGAAATGAGGCTAAAAATGGAGGAGCTCTGCCAGCCCAGCATTAGCCACACCTTAAATTGATTGTCCATATACACTGTAAAATGGCAGCGCTGCCAAGAGACACATCCAACCCCAATCCTTCCTCTGAAGAGCCTGGCATCAAAATGAGCAGGTTACAGGCTCCTGCAGGATGGCTGAATCCACCATGCCTTCACTTGGCCCAGCTCTTTAGGAATCCAGCCATCCCCAGCCAGGTGAAATGGCATAAGCTGATGCTGAGCAAGCACCAGGACTTTGCTTTCACTGCTGTGCACTGAATAACAACCCCTGTGCTGGAGGCAGCAGGTATTCAAGTCCCTGCCCTGCTTTTGCATCCTCCCCCTGCTTGGCCAGTGCCAGTGGTGGGGCTGGTTCAGCACCAGCCCACCTGATTCAGGTTGTGCTTCTGAATGCTTGAGTTTTCCACAGGACATTTCCAGAGCTTTGCAGGAGTCTGGGGAGCTGCCTGGCTGCACTCTGAGTTACAGCTGGAGTGTGGTGTAGAGAATCAAGAAAATGAGTAAAACTCAAGTCCAGCAGGTTCCTGAGCTCCAGGAGCCGTCCTCTATTTGCAATCCCTTTGGGAGAAGGAGATAAAGATTCTCTGAATGCATCTTAGTTTCACAGCCAGCACTAACTCTAAACCCAGCATTAACTCTAAGGGTGTCTGTGGTGCTGCAAGAGCTCATGTCCCTCCTTCCACTACTGGCAGGACAAGAGCTTTGCTTGTGGCCAGCCAAGCAAGCTGCAGCCATGGGAACATCCTTGGGATAATCATTCCATCTAAGAATGAAATGTCAAAAAAAAGGACGTTTCCTCATTTACAGGCTGATTCCTGTGCAGGAATTGAGAAGTACTTGGTTACCTCTGTGGTGAAGTGGGACTATCTTGGTCTAGAGCATCACATGGACATTCCAAGATCTCACTGGTGGCTTCCAGGAGCTAAATCAGGCAGTTGGTGTTGGAAAATCAGGGCTGAAGAGTGAGGAGAAATCTCAGTTCAGTCTAAACTCATGCACTGGGCAGGCTGGTGCCAGCTGTAGTCGAGTCCACAGGAACAATCTGTCCTCACGGCAGCCTTGGGAACCAAACCCAACCAAAGCAATCTTTAAAAAGGGAAATGTGGAAATTCAGTTTCACTGGTCCTGTAGCTACAGGGTTGAATTTGGGAAAGAGGGAATACAATGAGGCAATTTTTACTTCCCTGACGTTTCAGAGGCTTCATACTGAACAGAAAGAGAAATCTTTTCTCAAGTTTGTCTTCTGAATTCAAAGCTATTGCATGAGCTCGGTGCTTTAGTCACTCACATTGCTGAGGCATTCATACTGACAAGGATGTGGAATTTTATATTATTTAAAACAAAATACTGACAAGATGAAAGGAAGATTTAATGGAAGTTGTTTGCAATTAATCCTGCCAACTCAATTGTCAAAAGGCTGTTTAGGTTTGGGTTGAGACTGCTTTAATTATTGATAGTACGAGCTATGTAATTTTTTCTCCTTGCTTTGTTGAGCTCTATCTCTCTGCAGAGGTACTGTATCTCTAAATGGGGGACAGCAGGATTATACCAGATGGACTTTCTCTCTCTGCTGGGGTTTCATTCCTCTCCACTCACACAGGGCTGGACCACACTTGTGTCTCCCCAGTTTAATTACATTTAAAGGTGAGCACAGCCTCACACACTGACATTAATGATATTCATGGCCAAACAAACCACTCCAACCACATTCTCCATCATAGGCAGGATCCTGAGGTTCATTTCAGCCAGGGCATATAATGCTTCTTGCCATGTCTATGTAACTTAGGGGATTTATTTTGAATGCGTGCTCATTTAGAAATATATTTTAATTGAAATGTTTAGTGCTTTATCTTATATACATACTGTGCAATACCATAGTGTGTTCTTTTCCTTTTTTGGTTTTTTTTTTCTGAGACTTTTTTTTAAATTCTTGATGTTTGTTTGAGCCTCCAGTGTGTTTTTGACTTGGATCAGCTCTGGTAGTAGTAGTAGTGTTTTCCTTGCCCTGAGCTAACCAGAAGCAGCACATTGCACAACCAAAACCCTTTGCAAGTCATGCACCCTCATGTTCACCAGCAACCTGGAACTCCTGGGAGGAAGGGAATGCTCCTCTCCAGAGGGTCTAATTTGCACTTACTGTAAGGAATTGATAGCAACCCAGGGAAATAGGAATAAACTAGAGAGAAGAGCCCTCACCTGCTCCCACCAAACTCCACCATCATTTTGTCATCAGTTTCCAAAGGAACAGATATTAAAAAGCAGATTCAGGTCTGGAGCAGCACGTGTTGGTGCTGAGTGGGCTCTGCTCCAGTGTCTGCCATGAGCTGTTGTCATGTGGGACCCTGAGCACTGGGACAAAGCTTCTAAGGACAATCAGCTTCTGGAATTCCTTTGGCTACAATGATTGGAAACCCATCCTCCTCCACAGTTACAGCTTCTGTCTGACTCAAGATGACATTCCACTGGGGGTGTAGGGGTTAAACTACTCAGAGTCTCTCTGATTTCTTGGTTTCCTGTGAAACCAGGGATTGAAAGGTGCTATAATTGTTCACAAGGCACATTCCCAGCCACAGAAGGAAATGGTAACTTCTTCACCAGTTATTTTACACAATACCTTTTTTATTTATATCAATGTGTTTCATATGTGTGCCAACGGTCCTGGCTTCTTTCCTGAGGATCAGCTTTACAACCATTTGGTCTTTTATAGGGCAGCCATAGGCAGTATCTTGCAATCAATGTGTAATTTCTTAACTTAGAGCAAGAATAAATCTCGTCTGACAGGATGAACTCATTTATGGCAGGCATTAATGTTTGTTGTAAACACAACCTGTTTGTTCCACCTCTTGCATGGTTACTTATCTGTTTTCATATTGCTATGTTATTGTTCAAAATATCTATTTCTCTTTATTTGCTATGGGGTTTGTTACTGTATATGGAATGTTTTGTATTCAGCATTTTCTTACGGAGCAGAGTGGGAACAGTATTCAAGGACCCACAAATACCAAAGACCTTTCATGTAATGCACTGAGAAATAAACTTACTGTAAATGAATATCATGTCAGGTGTCCTCTATTTACGAAGTTCAGAGCAAGTTTAAGCAAACTGCAGCCTGAAATCAGGGCAGCTGCTTCTCCTTCCTGACATCTCAGCCTTCTCTTTAGGAAATCTCCTTTGCAGGGCTCTCAGAAACAGGATGTGAATACAGGCCCTGCTTCTGGGCACCTGCTGTGGGCTGGAGGGGCAAAAATGGCCTAAAAGCAGAGCTGAACTTCCCTGCCCACAGTGGGAGTGACTCCTCTGCAAGTGTTGGATGGAGAGATCTGACTGCAGGACACACAGAGTCACCTCTGCATTCCCAGCCACCAGATCAAACACAGGGGCTCACCCCAAATCCCCTGGGCACATCCCAAACACAGGGACACATCTCAAACCCCATGGGTACATCCCAAACACAGGGACACATCTCAAACCCCATGGCCACATCCCAAACACAGGGACACATCTCAAACCCCATGGCCACATCCCAAACACAGGGACATATCTCAAACCCCATGGGTACATCCCAAACACAGGGGCTCACCCCAAACCCCATGGGTACATCCCTAACACAGGGGCTCACCCTGCCCTCCTGGGTAGGTGTTTTAGCTCCTCAGGCAGCCTCCCAGGTAACATCACCTTTAAGCATCTTGCTGTGCATTGCAGAGTGAGGCTCTGCCCAGACCTGGCAGGTCCCTCCGGCAGAGCAGCCCCCAGTTCCTGCAGGAATTTTGTGTCAGGGCAGACCCAGGGAATCACAGCTCTGCCTGGGCTCAGTGAGGGCACTCAGAGGATGAGGGCTGCAGCAGATTGTGAGGGGGAACAAGCCAGAGAGAGAATTCTGCTCTGCCCAGCAGTGTCAATTAAAATCTGCTGAGATTTGCAGTGTTCCTCACCTCCCCAAAAGTTTCTTCACAGTACAAGGAAGTGGAGTTGGCTCAGCTAAGACAGCAAGGGGTGCCCAGACCCCCTCCCTGACATCCCCTGGTACCTCCTGGGCATCTGCCTCCCCCAGCAGCCTTTGGGTGTTCTCTGAGTGCACCCCTGGGCTTATAGAGACCCCAGAGTCATCATCTCTCATGGCAATTCAAGCTGCCAGAAGAGGACATGGGTAAAGACCTTCTTTGAACCTTCCTACTCTGGGCCCAGCTGCCCCTCGAGGTGCAGCACCTCTGTGCTAGCAAAGGGAGGCTGTAGGGGAGGAGCTGGGCTGTTTCTGTCACAGATGTCACAGCTCCAGGCTCTGAACTTGTTTTTCATATCCCAGTGAAAACAAGAGATAAGTAAATCCCAGCCAGTTTTTTCCCCTCTGATCAGATTACACTGCAGAGGTGCAGATACCAAAAGGCGAAGGCTGAGCCTTGTAAACACAGAAATGTCCACAGAGTCAAGGCCTCTGCTGCACAGGGCTTTTTGCATCACTGATGAGGACATGCTCAAGGTTACTTCATGCCAGACATTCCCATGCAGCACTTCTCTGGGTCTCTCAGGGTGTATTTATCTCAGTTTCTGAGTCCTAACACCTCCAACTCCGATGTATTTACCCTTGCAAAAAGTCCTCGGAGGGAAGGCAGTTGTGTTAATCACCACTGCACAGGCTGGGAGTTGCTGGATAAAAGGCCAAATTAATTTCTTGGGACATTTGTGGCTGTGCTGGTCTGCCAGGCACCAAATTAGCATCAGGCCCATGTTGGTCTCTGGGCCATTATGGCCACTGATTGTAATCACAGCGAGGGGAACTGACTTCTCCTGAGTTTAACACAGCCCAGGAAAATCAATGGCAGAGGGGAACACATTGAACTTGTAGCAGGAGCTGCTTGAAAGAATTTATTCGCAAACAAAACAGAGCTGGAGTTCAAGCCTAGGCAGGGATCAGTTGTGGGGAGCACACTGAGGCTGAGAGGTGGGAATTTGGCTGCCCAGCTGCTCCTGCACAGCCAGTCTGACACAAAGGGGCTAAACCAACATCCTCCTGAGCTGCTCCAGCCAGCCACTGCTTCTGAGGAAAATCACTGAAAATCCTGTCAGCAGCAGAATCAAACTCAGCACCTACTGCAGGCATTGTGAAATAAATTATGGAAATAATTGAGAGAAATCTATAGCAGCCTTAAAAAAAAGGAGGAGGTAAGTCTCAGTAAACACTCAGAGATACTGAATTAATCCATTTGATCATATTCTGAGAGCTGCTTTCATGCAGGGTTGAGTACAGTGAGATTTGTTGGGGGAAAACAACCTGTTTTACTGGATTCAGGAATAGCCATGCAAAACAAGCCAAGGCAGCTCAGGGTGCTCTGCTCAGCTAATGCTGGGCTGGGTCCCATCTCTGACTGCCCAAACCTTCAGCCTGCTTTGAGAGAGGCAAAAAATGCTGAGGGAGATCCTGCTGGGAGATACAGACAGAAAGGGGATGCACCCACAGCAAGTCAAGACTCCCAGGGAAATATCACAATCAGAAACCCTCCCTGGCAGATGAACTCAGCAGACTGGTTTCCCCAGGTTTCAGGGAGCCAATTACCTTAAAAGCACCTATAATTGAAGAAAAAAGCTGTTTAAACCTTAGGGAGGTGCCAAAATCCATGCTCCAGGAGAGGTCTGTGGCCTGACACCCCAGCAAACCACAGAAAATGAGACAGAAGCAGCCTGAGGGGCCACCCCAACCCTCTGCCTGAGGCAGTCAGCTCTGTCACAGCCTCCCCCCAGATGTTTGTTCTGTCCCCAGGCCACCCCGGGCAGCCCATTTATTTCTGCCCCAGCAGGCAGTGGGTACAGTCTGGGTCCTTGATTTCCCATCTAAACTTACAGGTAGAAGAGGTATTACAGGATTACTGGGATTTTATTTCTTACAACAATCTTCACCATCTGCAAACCACATCCTTCCACTCCAAACTGGTTTCTGCTTCAGGCTACTGCAGCTCTCACACATTCCTTCCTCCTCCTTTGCTCCATGCAGCACTGCAGGGCACTGGCATTATTCCTGTCTGCAAGGGGGGCATTGAATTTTAGGCTGTGGCCTTCCCATTGCTGCAAAAAGCTGATGGATTTTTCTCTTCCATCCTGCAATTTATCCTCCGGTTTCACCTGTCACTGCAATTCTGCCTTTTTCAGTTAACAATAAGCAACATCTCTTGAGCTGCCCTGGCCCAATTTAATTCCTTCATGAAGATCAGCTGCCTCTTCCCTGCTAAACCCAAAAACTTCTCTTTGTTCCTATCAAAGTTCACTTTTTTCCCCACCCCAGACTCTCTTAGTTCTGTTCAACTCATACTCAAATCCTCCAGCTCGGTCCCTCCCAGTCTGATGTTATCTGCTGATTTAATGAACAAATCTGCCAGATTCTTGATGAAAACAATAAAAAAATACTCAAATACAGCAATAAGCCCTGGAGAGCCCCAGGGCAGCCACCTACCACAGCTGGCAATTCCTTGGGAACTGTAATTCCTCCAGCTTTGTGATCTCCTTAATGGGGCTTATTTAGCCCATGTTTTACTGACTCCTTGTGAGAATGAGGCTGAGTTTCCAAAGCCCTTCGAAAATCAAGATAGATGACATCAACCTGTTCCACAATATCCCTCCAGCCTGTTACCTTGTCATAAGAACAAAGGAGGTTTATCTGGCTTGATTTGTTCTTGACAAATTCACATCAGCTGCTTCCATTCTCCCCATTATCCCACAGGTGCTCACACACTCGTGATTTGAGTGCCTGCTCCTGAATTTCCTGGGGTTGAAACCAAAATGTTCTGTCATTTCCTGTCTCTTCTTTACCTCCTTTCTAAGCACAAGTGTTTCATTTGCTCTGCTGAACTCTCCCAGTTCGTTAAGAAGTTCTCCAAAGTAGCTGGTAACACACTAAAGCTGCAGTTACACCCCTCACCTCTTCAGGAGCCCTGAGAAGAGCTCATCAGGCCTCTTCAATTTGAAAATTCCTCATGGTTGCTTAACACCAGCTCCCTTAACACAGGTAGTGTGAAAAAAACTATTTAACACTTCAGCCTGATGGGCTCCAGGCTTTCCAAACCACAGAGTTTGGAAAAATTCCCCCCAAGAGTCTGATGGCACCCTGTTCTACCTCTCAGCAGGAGCATCCTCCTCTGCACTCTGGTCCTCCAGGCAAGGGTTTTAGCTCTGCTACACAGACAGCTCCTTCCTTTTAACCCTCTATTCTCACTGAATAGATAATATTAATATAATAATAATAATAAAGTAGCAAATATATAATATTAATGTAATAATAAATTATTATAATATAATTATTAATGCATAATAAATAAAAGAAAAAGTTATTTTGCCATGGTGTCAGAGAGTTCTTTGCCTTGCCCTGCAGAGAGGACATTCCATGCTTTGCAGGAAGGTGAGGATGCTGATTTGTGCTCATTTTTTCCCCCTGCATCTTCATTCTTCTGCAGCCACCACTCGTGTGACAGTGATGAGACCCCAGCACGCTCCTCCCTGGGGAGTGCCCGTGGTCCTTCCCCAGCTGCTGTGGGGGACCTCAGTAGGACCCTGCCCTTCTGGGAGCTGAGAGCTCTCCATGTCAGGGCAGAGCCTGGAACGGGGCAGCCCTGCCCTCACACACACCTTGCAGTGACACAGAGGCTCCAGCACACACATCCATCCTCATTTAGCGCTGCCTCCTCCTGAATCCCACACACCCTGAGATGGGAAAGGTGCCCTGGACCTTTCCAGCGGGGAGGTTTCTCCCTGTGTCCCCCTGTCCTTGCTCAGGGCTGCTCCTCTCCACTCTTCATCACATCTGGGCTCAGTTTTGGCACAGCTGCTCTGGCCCAGGGCAGAACATCCCCTGATGGCACTGAGGTGGTTCAGGACACACCTGCAGTGGGAAGAAACTCTTTGGTGTGTGACAAGGACAACAATTAAAATTAAACCCTGTTCTAGACAGCTCGTAGCTCTCCCAGGGATTTTGCCCTGTCTATACCAGCACAAGGCTGTACCCGTGGAACTGCACCCACCAGAAGGGAGTGAGGCTGTTTTAATTAGCAGAGTGATGCTGTTTAATT